AACACAGGTTTCATACAAGAATAACATACATCATATTTTAAAAGAGATACAGAGTAATTGTTAATGGTTCAGAGGAGAGGGACCTGGATCATCTTCTCACAAAAATGGTTAAAAAAACCGGGGTTTCATTTGCCATGAAAATGATCTGGCCATGCTGTGGAAGAAGGGTGAGCCAGTACTCACAGGGACACAGCTAGAATGGGTAAGCGTAATTTAGGGAGGCAAGTTCTGGCTTAACATATGGAACTTTCCAAGGAGATGGCTATAAAGTTGAGTGGATGCCTGGAGGAGTAGTGGATTCTTTGCCCCCAGAAATATTCAAACACAGTCTATGTAGTCATTTGGCTGGATGCTGAAAAACCAAAGGAAGCATTATGTACCCGCCCATACACCAATACTATTGAGCACCTACCACATGCATGCTCCATGCTCCTACCACACCAAGGTAGGTGAGACCGGCAAGGTCCCTGTTTTCATAGAACTTGTAAAACAGCACCCGATGCAGACAATAAACATGAGAACAAATACTAACATGAGGTGGTTGCTGATTAGGAACGTTTTGGTGATGGAAATGAGTAAGATGGGGGTGCTGACTTGATTGGCTATGGAGGCGCTTGGCTGATTGGCTGCTTTGATCAAAGCAGGTGACATCTGAGCTAAGGCGGGACAGGTCAGAGTTGGGAGAAGAACATCCCAGCTTCTGAAACAGTGAGAGTTGAGAGCTCTGAGCCAGCAAAGGGTTTGGTTTGCTGAGAGACCAGGGGTGACGCCGGGAAGCACTTTGAGGGAAGGGAGGGTGAGGCAGTGGAGGCAGGCAGAGCTACATCCCACACAGCTCTGTGCATCCCAGGGAGAAATTTTTGTTGAAAAGAATGAGATATAACTGAAACATTTTAAACAAGAGAGCAATATAATTGATTTAGACTTTTAAAAAATTAGATGGTGTACGAGATGATCTATACATTCTTTTCTAAAGCTGAGAATCTGACCCTATTAGGATAGGGTCCTCACCACGTCTTACTGCACATAGCAAACACCTATGTATCACACCTTTTGGTATTTGTTCTCTTTAGCACTAACCCTCTACCTGTAGGAAGACGGCACCAAATTGCAAATTTCAACAGTCGCTGGGGAAAAGTGACCCATTCTTGTGATTTATCCTGAACTGGCCTTTGCCATTAGCGCATCTTTCCGGTAGATGTATCTGTTCTGTTCTGGTGCTCTGTGCCTGCAAACCCTGCCCGCCCCCCCCGCCCCCCCGCAACACACACCATGCCCAACGCTTCTACCATCAGCTCAGCAATGCCATCACTGACAACTGATTGGGCCCTTCTGGTCCCAACTCATTATTGTGCAGCATCCTGGAGGGCCCGTCTCTTCTGTCACAATGGACTGTCCTTTTGTACCGGCACCTTGGCCTGAACTCAAGGCCATTTTCTCCCTTACAGTCCATGAGACTTGAGTTGCCTTGAGAACGGGGATTCTAGCTGGTTCCCTACTATATCTGGATATTCACCAGTGTGGCACCTATGACCGTTAAGTCTTTAGAAAATGCTATTGAATGAACGGATACCCTGACCTTGGAGGCACCCTGCCTAGACCAGAGATCCTTTTGGACACCAACTCTCCTCTCTGCACTCAACTGGATCATCCTCCTTCCAATTCCTACACTGTGAAACACGCTGGCTCTGTGCCAGTTAGACTGTCCTAACTGTTTTAACTAGAGTTGGTACTGAGCCTTTTTTTTTTTTTTTTTTAAATCACGCAAGGCCCAAGCTTAAGATTGTTTTCCTGAATTGTGGCTGAGTCTTAGTAATGATAACTCCAAAAAAGCTAGTCCTCAGATGTTCTACATCATTTCCAGAATAAGAATAAAAGTTCACATTCATTGTTCCCTACTACTTGCCAGGCACTATGCTAAGTCTCCTTTAATCCTCCCTGCCACCCTACATGGAAAACATTGTAATCCCCATTTTACAGATGAGGAAATTGCAGCACAGAGAGGCTAAGTGACTTGCCCAGGGTCACACAGCTAACAAGTAGATCTGAGATTTTCCAAGATTCTTTTGAATATGAAACTTGCATTCTTAACAACTTAGGGGAAAAGATTTATAAAATAAAATTCACAATAATACATCCACATTAGCATAAAGAAATGCATAATTTAATTGGTGTGGTACTGCAAAATGGGTGTTATTATAGAACTCTCTGTTGTATAACTGGATAGATTTTACTTTCTTTGTCACATATTTTTCCTCTTCACCTCCAAAAATTTTGTCTATTCATAATCTTTACTACCATATCAGAGCATATTTAAGATATCTTTGTAACTCTAAAGCATTTTATTTTAACAGAAGAACCCAGGAAAACTAGAAAGTCTTCTTAGAAAATAGCCCAGATCTTATTAGATTTTAAAGGTCTCAAATACAGGGTATGAAAAGAACCTAAGAGTTCTACACACAACTGAAATGTGTATGAGATCAAAAATCATTCAGAGTTTTAAAATCTGCTCTATTGACAGAGGGTCTCAGGAACCAAAATAAAGTCATCTTCCACAGTTCTTTGAGTGACAGTTCTAAAATGTCCAAAAGACAAAATTTTCATTTTTAACTTAACATCAAAGCACAAGACATTTTCTGATTTAAAGAGAAACTTCCTGTAAAAATGACTGATGCTTCTGATGTTATCTAAAACACATAAAAATACACATGTACTGGTCTACCTGGAAAACTAGAGAATTACAACCCAGGGCACTAGCCTGGGATAAGGCAGAAGTCCAGATGGAAGTCTTACTGAAAAATAAGAAAAATAATAAAATGTTTCTTCAGTAAGATAGTTATCTAAAGGAATGTTGGTTCTAACATTTACACTCACTATCATGAGTAGATTGTGAAATATTATACAATTCATTTAAGACATACAGAGAATCAGAGAAAGTACTAGCAAATTACAAATACAATTTAAGTTATAGCATATTATTAGTACAAATACAATTTAAGTTATAGTATATTATTATAGTACAAGCCCATCGTAACTGGGGAAAATAATAATTTCCCGACTTGGAAAAATTAGGAACTCAATTAAGAATCCAACTTGCAGAAAAGGTTACACATCTATGAACTTGTGAATAGCTTAGGTTTACAAGTCAGTATCCAGACTGATACTATACCATGGACTTTGCACAAACACAACCAGAGCCTTCCTTCTACACCTAGACCTGCACATGTGAGGTCGATGATAAGTTCCTTGCCTACCCAAGCCTCAGTTTTCTCATCTATAAATTTAGAATATCACACCATAACATTTCTCCCAGAGTTCTATATATATGAATATATTTCCTTTTATAGATTGGAACCCCGTTGTGATACTTCCCTTGTGAACTCTGTTATGAGGCTATGGAATTAGCAAACGACCCAATGATGAGATCTCTGATTCTTCCCCTTTTGCTGCATTCCAGTCTATAGTCTGCAATGATTTTCAATCTATTTATTCACCTTTTTATCACTCATTCAACAAACACCTACTGAGAGCTTACTATGTGACAAGATCTCCACTGCAAGAGAAATCAACCTCTATACTTTATTATAGATGGCTTCATGAAATATTATGTTATGATAAATTACTATAGTAATATAGCAAACTTAGAAAATATTACAGTTCATGTAACTTATAATGGGAATTAAGAATAAGTTTTGACAATGTTACATACCCTCTAGAAAATAGTTATATGCAAATTCTTTTCACAGGAGTTACTATATAAATTAAATAAATCCAAGGTGTATATGAGGCTAATCCAAGGAAAGGGATTTAGAAACGGAAACAACTTTAAAAATTATCGTATTTGTGACTCAGTATTGAATTACCTTTCAGAGTAGTTTTTTAAAAGATTTTATTTATTTATCTAAGAGAGAGAGAGAGCAGGGGAGGAGCAGAGGGAGAGGGACATGCAGATTCCATACTGAGCAAGGAGCCTGATGCGGGGCTTGATCCCACGACCCTGAGATCATGACCTGAGCCGAAATCAAGAGTCGGAGGCTTAACTGACTGAGTCACCCAGGAGCCCCTCAGAATAGGGTTTAATATCTAGAGTGATTTAAAAATAGGCCACAATTGGAAGCAATTAAGAAATTGTTCTGTTTTTACTTTATTTTCCTTAAGAGTCATAAGCCATTGGTTATTTCTACTCATGGAAAACAACTGATTTTCATAACACATATATGTATATATTTCTGTAATGTTCCAAGACATTTCCTTTAATCATTATAAACATAATCCATTTTAACAGTAATTGAGTGTTTCCAATGTATGGCAATGGCAAACTAGAATGATGTAAGCACGAGTATAGAAGGAATTGGCAAACTACTGCTTGTGGACCAAATTCAGCCCAATATTTGTTTTTGTAAATAAAGTTTTATTAGAACACAGCCAGGTCTGTTTGTTTACATATAATCTATGGCTGTTCATGTGATACGTTGGCAGGGTTGAGTAGCTGTGATAGAAATGGTATGGCCTACAAAACCTAAAATATTTTTTATCTAATCTTTTACAGACAAGGTTTGTGTACTCTTGCTTCATAATAAAGGTATTATAGAATTTCCATGCCAGTTTTGAGTACTGACACAAAAATTGAAAAGGAATTAAAGGAGATATTTAGTTGTATATTTAGTTCCTTTTAGACTTGTGCCCAATGCATATCAGAGGTAGGACACATGCTACACATTTGAGTAGACAAATTCTCTAACAAGCAGTCCTTGCTGGGCTAATGGGCCACGCTGTTTCCCCACTGATATAATAAAAATTCCAAGTGTTGTCCCGTCCACAGAACAAATGCCCACCACAACTTCATAATCACCCTTTCTTTTAGGAGCTGGGAATTATAGTTTGTGTCTATTTTTTTGTTGTTGTTGGAAATACTGTGACATTCTATAGTTCTGTAAACACTACAGCTTGTTTCATTGAAAATGACCATTACAAGTAAAATAGAAAAAAAGAATTGTTACCTGTATGCTGTTCTTCAATCCAGACTTGCAAATACATGAAGAGGAGCAGCCCTGCTACTCCAAAAATGAGCACCGAGAGGAAGACTTGTTTGGGGTTCATGACCATTTCAGATGGCTGCCTTTCTCCTCATTTCTGAAGACCACATGATTTGTTTTTCCGTAGAGCTTTGGTCCTGTCTTGTTCTATTAAGCACTCCTTCCATGAAGCAACCTAGAATTTTTTAAAAATCCACATTGTACCTTGCTGATGACATTTCTTTCCCAATACAACATAAATAGGCAGCATATCAACGCTAGTGAAGACGTAGGTGAACTGGAACACTCTGAAGACAGAAGGGACTGTAGGAGATTGTCCCTAGAATGGAAATTTTCTATCATAAACTTAAGAATAGATTATCGTACCATTAATAAGTAACACCCTCACATTTAATTAGGTGCAGTTTAGCCAGACTTAAGCCACCCTATGCTAGAAAGAGTAAAGCAGGTTCGGTTTACCTTAAAATGATTGTGAGGGGGGAAAGAAGACTATCAGAGTAGATTGTTGAAGGAGTTTTGAAAAACATGTTTATAGAATAAAGGGGGAAAATCACTTCCTGACTGAAAAATATACAAAAATGGAGGGTTCAATCTATCATTTCCCTCTCACGTAAAAGTAATAATTTCTCCAACTGAAAGGGTACATTTAAAATCCCTCCAGTGCACAAAAGGATAAATATTAAAAGGTCAGATTTAAAGGGCTTCTCCCATAAGAACATGGGAGTACAGAAATTGACCTCAGATTACAGAAATCTACCTCCGTAATGAAAGGTTTAAAGAAATATTGAAATGACTTTGTTTTAGAACAATCTCATCTAGTGTAATCTTACCCTTTTACTTTTTGTAAGTCACATCCACCTTTGAGAATCTAATGAAAATGCAAACCCTCTTAGACAAATATAAACACACACAAAATCTTGCATAAAGAGCAGGATGATTAGCTATTGTCACTGGAACCCAAGTTAAGAAGCCCTGCTTCCCATGAACTGCCACGCAAATACGCAGTCACCTGCATGGTGAGCTCACATAGTCCAGCTAATGAGGCCAAGGTCATGGCTTTTATCTAATACTGGCCAAAGACCTTGACTCTGTTCTTTGGCCACAGACCACACCTCCTTTTTGGATGAGCTGAAAGTTTTCTCACTGTGAGGACATCACATGCACTGCTGTGTCTAAAAATGATCTCTCTTTTTTCTCCAAATATGCCTCAAGAACTTCTGGGAGAATATTGATTTAGCCTTTTTAAAAGGCGTTTGGTGAGGGCCCCTGAGTGACTCAGTCAGTTGAGCATCTGCCTTCGTCTCAGGTCATGATCCCAGGGTCCTGAGATGAATTCCGCACTGGGCTCCCTGCTCAGCAGAGAGTCTGCTTCTCCCTCTCCCTCTGCCTCTCTACCCACTTGTGCTTTCTCTCTCAAATAAATAAACAAAATCTTAAAATAAACAAATCCAACAAAGAGTTAAGTGTGTATGCAGAACAACAAAAAAAGTCATGATATAAATACATTTTTTTTCTTTATATTTTAATTATTACCCAGAAGGGGCCAGAGGAAGAGCAGTGATTGTTAGAATTACCTGAGGAGTTTGTTAGAATCCACTTGTCTGAGTCACCTGAGGAAGGGGCCACAGTTTTCCATGAGGGCTTTTGAGCATCTCAAGCATTTTCTTTATTTTGCTAGTAGAGTAAGTTTTTAAATAAGTAGAACTGAAAGTATCATCGTACTGCTATTTGATGGGTGGTGCTTTGCTCTTATATTGATTCAAAGCTAAAATCTTATGGGCTTTCCAAACATATGCAACAAAGAACAGTTCCTGAGGGAGAGCTGCAATCTGAGGTGTTCCAAGATTGGGTCCCTCAAGGGAAACTACGAGAAGCCAGCTTTCTCTTGTCTTGATGCTGCAGTTAAACAACGAACGGACATAATTCCTGGGTGCACAAGAAGATTCAGTTAGGAGAAATCAGTTAAACAAAATCCCGTACTAACAGAGAAATAGCTGTTTACAAGAAGAAAGAGACTTTTACAATCTGTCTACATAATTAAAACTTATCTCAGAAGAAAGGGGATAGAAGAAAACGCATAAATCAGAACAAAGCCACGAACCTGTGGGAATAGTAGATGTGAAAAGCCAAAAGAGAGACTCCTTGAGGGTTTGCAGAGGAAAATTATTACCTACGACGCTGGAAAGAGATGAAGAATTTGCCCTTCCTTTCTTCGGGAGATGTTGCTTTACTCTGACATATCCTCCTGGGTAAGAAGTCAGGAGAAAAGCCATAATTGTTATTATGGCAGATGTGAGTAGGATTGAGTGATTAAAGCCACAAGGCAGAAAGGCAATCTGGTGTAAAACGAAGAGATACGTTTGATTTTCTCCCATCTCAGTCCATTAACCCAACGTTGGCATTAGGAAATGGCTCTCATTAAACAAAGGTGAGGCAGGAGGGGGAGCAGTATTGCTTTAAGCAAACCTGAAGGTCAGTTGTGATGGGAAAACACACCTATTTGGAGATCATACATCTACCTCTACGCCTGCAGGAAAAGTGCAGACTACTGGAGATTGAAATTACTTGGAATAATGCTATTTTATGTACAAGCATTATACATTTCCACGGTCAGAGGCTTCCTGTATTGCGTTCAACTCCTTCCTCTCCCCAGTCACAAACACAGTACCTTGAACCTAACCAGTACTCAACAGTGTGCATTGTACTGAACTGAATTTGGAGCTCCAATAACAAAATACAGGCAAAGCAACTAATTTTCTAGTTGTACTTGTAAATCCTTAGTCCTAACTTCCAAATGGAGAAATATGGACTATTAAAATCCTGAAAGAGGAATCTATGTGGCTTTGTTAGAAAAAAATACAAATTTATTTTATTTGCATATCCTATTGATTTATCCCAAACTAACACAAAAAGATATGTAAAAACAATTGTTTCACTACATTATCTCTCTTCCAACGCTTTAAAATCATTCAAGATGTTCAACATCATTAATCCTCAAGGAAAAGCAAATCGAAACCACAATGAGATATCACGTCAAGCCTGTTAGAATGGCCACCATTAAAAAGACAAGAGATAACAAATGCAGGCCTGGATGGGGAGACGAGGAATCTGTCCACACTGTTGGTCGGACAGTAAACTGGTGCAGCCACTTAAGGGAAACTGCATGGAGGCTCCTCATACAATTAAAAATAGAACTACCCTATGATCCCGCAATTCCACTTCTGGGTAAATGAAAAAACTTTGTCAAAGAGACATCTGCACCCCCACGTTCATAGCAGTGTTATTACAATAGTCAAGACATGGAAATAACCTCTGTCCACTGATGGATGAATGGATAAAGAATATTACTCAGCATATTCTTATTATTCTTTTTAAAAAAGATTTTATTTATTTGACAGGGAGAGCGAGCATGCACGCACAAACAGGGGGAGCGGCAGGCAGAGGGAGAGGGAGAAGCAGGCTCCCCGTGAAGCAGGGAGCCCGATGCGGGGCTCCCGGGGCTCGATCCCAGCACCCTGGGATCATGAGCTTGGCTGAAGGCAGGTACTTAACTGACTGAGCCACCCAGGTGCCCCTAGAGGCAATTTATTTAAAAGGAAATTAGGGGTTGTCCAGTTGGGCAGAAGTCTACGATTTTAGGGAGGGAGTTATGAAATGTAGAGAGGACGGTTTGGAACAAATTGGCACAGACCAGTTGTGTGCAGAAGAACCCCAGAGTCAGGAGATCATCCGTCCTTACCCTCCACCTTAGTAGGACCTCAGCAGTCCTTGCCAGTGTCTATCTTTTCCTCATATTCTGAGCAAGTAAGAGACCATCAGGGATGAACTCCTTCAATCTTCCACCTGCCCTCACCAAGTTTACTACCATCTGTCCCCGCCCATAGTTCTTTGCCACAGTCTCTTCCAGACTACTGTGAAACTCAATTCCATCAATACCACGCCAGCCTGGATCTTAGCCCGAACCTCATCCCCCAGTGACGTCCTCTGTAACCCCTCCAGTGACTGCCCTATTGCTGTCATTCCCAGATGAGCCTGAAAAGAGCACTCTGCCCTGATTGTCTCCAGTGCCCATCTCCCAGCCATCTCTCCCCTCACAGCTGCCCAGGAAGCCAGAAGACGTGAGGAGGCTCACAGGTGGTGTAGGGACTGAAAATTTATAATCCCCTGGGGTTTTATTTTGTTTTGCTTTTTCTTATTCTACTTACCTCCTCTATGAATTTCCTGTTTGTATCTCTTCCCCATTTTTCTTATTGCCGTGTAGCTCTTTTTGCATTTGAGATGGCGAATCTCTGTCAGTTACAGACATTGTAAAAATCCTCCTGTTTGACTTTTTCTTGCCTCCCGTCCTCCCCCACTCCCATCCCTTGCTGGTGGTGTGGTTGTCTTATTATGAAGAAGTTTTAAATAAAATTTTGTCATTTTTTTCCTTCTTGATATATCAGCTAGAGTCTTGAAAGAAAGCACAGGATATACTCAAGCGCATGAAATTGTGGAGAGGTTAGTAATGGGGCCATTTCCAAAGACTGAGCAGGGTTCTGGGAAACCAATAAAGGATAGAGTGGTTCCCAAGAGTGAGGAAGAACAACCACCGCTAGAAGTGAAGACAGGAAGTAGAGAGCTATTCTTGGAGGGGCTGGGAGGAGAGGGCTGGCCGACGAGAGCTGTCATTTATTGCACAGGGAAACAGACAACATGCTGTACTGGGGTGTTGAGGGACCCAGAAACATCACTTTCCCATCCTCAATTTCTTCCTGCCCTTAGGACTATGTCAGTGACTCCTGTGTGGCAAACCCTGTTGAAAGCCTGAGGAGATCTTGCCATTTGGGACAACATGGATGAAACTCGAGGGCATTATGCTAAGTGAAAGAAGTCAGACAGAGAAGGACAAATACTGTATGACCTCACTCATACATGGAATCTAAAAAAGCCCCCCAAACCCCAAAAACCAGGGAGACTTTTTATGCAGCACATTCTGGTGAGGCTCCCAAATCACAAAGCAGGCTAGGGCATGGTAGAGATGGGAGATAATCAAGTTTGTGTTCTTTATGAATTTTTCAAGATAATATTCCTTATCCTCAAATATTAAAATTATTCTCCTGCATTTCCTTTCAAAAGTTACAAAGTTTTACTCTTCATATTTAGTAGGTGAAGCCACCTGGAATTTATTTTTGTGTACATTGT